AAAAAAGAAAACTCAAATCAACAAAATTAGAGATGAAAAAGGAGATGTCACCACAGAGATTTCTTTGGTCTAGATGATCATTAAGGAACTAATTTGAAAATCTGTACTCCAATAAATTGGAAAACCTTGATGTTTACAAAATTTCTAAACACATATGACTTGCCCAAATTGAACCAAGAAGACAGAGAAAATCTTAACACACCAATAACAAGTAATGAAATCGAAACAGGAATTAAAATCTTTTCCCAAAAAAATGGACCAGATGGATTCTTAGTCAGGTTCTGCCAGACCTTTTAAGAAGTACTAAGTCTTTCTCAAATTATTTTACGAATGAGAAAGGCAGTATACACTCCCAAATTTATTCTATGAAGTCAGTGTAACCCTGACACCAAAACCAAAGGCATATCAAGGAAAGAAAACTACAGACCAATATCCCTGATGAACATAGGGATACATCCCTGATGTAAAGATCATTAAGAGAAGGTTAATAAACTGCATTCAAAAAACACATAAAGGAGGATGATATGGGGTTGGGGTTAGGGTTGTGGCTCAGTGGCACAGTGCTTGCCTACCATGTGTGAGGCACTGGATTCAATTCTTGGCACCATATATAAATAAATAAAGATCCATTGATAGCTTAAAAAAAAGAGGATAATTCCTCTTTTTTTATTAAATGGATTTCATCCAAAGGATTCAAGGTTGGTTCAACATATGCAAATCAACAAATGTAATTACCACTTCACAGAATTAAGGATAAGAATTATATGATCATCTGAATAGGCCTTTGATACACTTCAATACCCATTCATGTTAAAAACACCAGAGAAACTAAGGGTTAAAGAATCTTACTTCAATATTATAATGGCTATACATGACGATCCCAAAGAAAACAACGTAACTGAAAGCAATTCCTCTAAAATCAGGAACAAGGCAAAGATCTCTACTCTCTCACTACTTTTATTCAATATAATTCTCAAAACTCTAGCCAGAGCAATCAAGAAAGAGAAGGAAGAAAAAGGAATACAAATAGGAAAAGAAGAAGTCAAACTGTCCATTTGCTGATGACATGATCCTCTGATTAGAAAACCCAAACAACTCCACCAGAAGACTTCTAGAGTAGATAAGTGAATTTGGCAAAGTAGCAGTATACAAGGTCACTCATAAATCAGTAGCTTTCCTATACTCCAAAAGTGATTCAGCTGAACAATGAAAACAATGCCATTCACAATAACCTTTAAAAAAACAAAACCCTAGGACTGGGGTTGTAGCTCAGTGGCAGAGTGCTTGCCTTGCATATCTGAGGCACTGGGTTTGATTCTCAGCACCACATAAAAAATAAATAGAATAAAGGTATTGTGTCCATGTGCAACTAAAGAAATAAAAATTTAAAACACACACACACACATACACACACACAAAATCCTTGGAAATTAATCTAACCAAGGAGGTAAAATATTTCTACACTGAAAATTATAGAACACTAAAGAAAGAAACTGAAGAAGACCTTAGATGATAGAAAGACCTCTCATGCTCTTGGATAGGCAGAACTAATATTCTCAGAATGGCCATATTACCCAAAGTAATATGGAATGAAAGTAAAAATCAATAGCAATCCCCATCAAAATACCAATTACATGCCTCATAGAACTAGGAAAAATAGGGTCCTAAATACATTTGGAAGAATAAAAGACTTGGAATAGCATATGCAGAAAGTATCCATCAAAAATATTTAAAGGAGCACAAGAAAGATCAGTAGAGGAGAGAATGGAGGAGGAGAGGGAAAGACAAAGTTAATAGGGATTGAAATCAAATTCCTTGCATGTATGATTTTTGTCAAAATGAATCCAACCACTATGTATAACTAGAATGCTTTCATAAAAGACAAGAATTGTATTCTAATAAAGCATACATACACATTTTTTGATATGAGGAAAAAAATCCAATAGCTAAAGAATAAGGTAACCATTAGAGGACAAGATAAAGCCAATATCTATCTTTATTTATGGAGAGGTAGGGAGGTGTGGTTTAATATTATCAAAGAAACAGGAATGCTGTGTGGGAATCTGATGCTCTGATACAGAATAGTTTAATGCTGTGTGTGAGAGAGAAGGGGGAAGAAATTTAATTCAGTGATAAAATGTAGTAAGGCTCTGGAATCAGACTATATGGAAACACTGTCATGAAAACATGAATTTAGGTTTCTTTTTTTAATATATATATATATATATATATATATATA